AAATGCTCCGATAGTCACATCCAGTAGCTGAGCAAAACCCATGTTTCCCAATGCCAAAAAAAAAATAATGTGAGCCCTTCGGACTTTCTGAAAGGCAGGGCGAATACTATCGCGGAAATGCTTCTTTTCCAACCATCCAAATTACTTGCTGTGAAAAAAACGCGTTTTCATAACAAGCACAGAACTTGTTTGGAATAATGTTACGTTCTTGAATAACGGAGTGTCAGTGCTTAAATGTCTGTAACTTCGAATATAACGATCTAATCACCTACCAGAGTGCAGAATTCCGAGAAGTCGATGAGCTTGTCGCCATCTTTGTCGATGTTTGTCATCATGTTGTCCGTTTCTTCCGGATTTAAGCCGAACGAAAACGCAGATTCGCGGATGCTTCGTTTCAGGTCGGTTGTTGGAATGTAGCCATCGTGATCGAGATCAAACTGGAAGAAATTGTTGTCTATTATTCATAATCCTTTGTTTTTTATCCTCTGCCTCCAAACGAGACAAAGATTGATGTGCCCTCACCGCCCGGAACAGCCTGATCCAGGATGTGCATTCAGCCTCGGATTCGCATGTCATCATGTGGTGTCCTTTGTCGTACATTTTTTGGTTGTCGTTTAAGACACCTCCAGATAGTCTGTAAATGCCCTACTGTGAAAAGATAAATGAAAAGCTTAGTTTACATTTTTTCACCAGTGATGTGAAATTCATACCTCTGATAATGACTATCGGATAATCGGCTCGCTTCCGTTCGATGGGGTATGGTTTTCCTGAACCACAAAATTGTAGCAAAACCACACTCGAATGTTTTTCTAAGCGAAATTGAAAGGAAAGCGGACCCGAGAGTAAATGCACAAACATAGATATCTATCATATAAACCTCAAAATGTGTACTAAATGCACAAAAACATAAATTCATGTTCATGCTGGTAGTACTTTTTGACGGAATATTTGCATAGTTGTGTGTGTCTTCCTTCATCAGGATGCTACGTCGATTTTTGGAAGAATCTTTACCGAAGGAGTCTCTTCAGACATTCCACATCACACAAAATTTGATGCACAGTTTTGAAATTCGAAAATTTTGCTTCAAAGCTTCTGAACAGCTAATATTTTAGCACACACAAGAAACCAAAATGTAATGAAGGCATTACCAGGTTCCAGAGCAAGAATGCCTATACTTGCTAAAATTAGAGGAAAAGGATTGAAATGTGCAAGAATATCTCTCAACAGAAAGACATGATGAACAGTCTTCGCACTCAATTGCAAACAGTATATCAAACTAGTACTCAGTACATCATGCAAGTAATGCAAGGCCTACTGACAAGATTCTTCTTAGCCAAAGCTACAGTAAGCAAAAAAGAGAAGATGATTGCGCCAGTTATTAGGTAAAGTGATAGCTCTGGAACTGCAGTTCTTGCTACAATAGACTGGTTGTTCTAGATCGCAAAATGCAAAAGAAAGATGAGCAGTAAGATCATGCTCGAAGATGGAAAGTGAATACTGATTACAAGATCCCACTGGTACATGATAATATATGACTTTGTATATGACACTCCAGAAGAATAAATTTGATATTGCTAAAATTAAAAATAC